GCATGGAATTTTTTTTTTTTAAAAAAGCAAGCTCACTTGAGTCCAGATTTCAGCCCACCATTTATTTTATATAGGTATGTGTGTAGATATATATACAAAAATAAAAACTGTTAAACTGACAAAATTGAGTTTTCCTTCTATTTCCATATTCTCCTCTCTGCATACTTCAGGGGGTTGAATGATCAGGCAACAGACAGCAAAACAGGAGATGAGGACATAAAGTTTTAATTTTATAGAATGATGAGAGAATAATAATTTAGACTCATGATAACATGAGAAAATTTCCACTGTTTTACATTATATAGAAAAATGCCTTGGATAGTATATCAACAAAGTATGAAAAAATTCACACAAAACAGATGCACTGTAGCAAGGAATTTCATTTCCATATTTATTGGACATATTTACTAAATTCACTCACATTATATAACAACTCATGCATAATTCTGATGAGTTGTTACTTCCTTTATATTCGCCTTTTAGGCTGATATGCTTTCCTTCAAATGACACTGATAGAATGTCAGTCACCTTTGAAGGCCAGAGGCTGGGCCTTATACCAGTGGCTGTAAATTATCCCTTGCAAAAACAAGAAAGATCTTAATTAAGCATTTCTGGCCTGAGCAACTCTTCATCTTTGCCACAGAGACTGTCTGCTTGAGAAACACCGTGGTTCCCCTTTCAAACCTCATTTCCATTTGAAGAGTGCTATTCCCAAACTGCTTCTTGCCACTCATTCCCACTGTATATGAATTCACTCCAGGATCCAATCCCAGCACGAGATCAGTTAATAAGTGTCCCTCAAGGGGGATTCTCCCTGCTCAGCGTTCCCTGCAAATCCACAAGGAAAACTAAAAATGGCTCTGACTTCCTTTCAAGCTGAGGGACAAGCTAGACTGTCACCTCCCTTAGGCTGGCAAAGGGGACTTCAAAACACAGGTGGCTTTCGATTGAACAAAAATACTTTTCTGGGAATTCAAAATGCAGGTGGCTTTGGATTCAACATATTAATAAACACTTTTCCTACTAAAGACTGCATTTAATCCGGCAGCTTCTGAGTCAAAACCAAACACCTTTTGACCTGAGGACAAGAGACACTGTCTATTAAATGACAGGCCACTCATGCTGCCCACAGGAGCAGCTGGGCTCCCATGTCAAATGATGTCCTCAGTGATATCCTGGTAGGAAAAAATGGGAGTTGATAAATGGCAAAAATGAACCGAAGCATTTTTCACAACATTTATGAGACTAAAATATCTCGTAATTCCTTAATTTGGCCATTTTTGCAGTCTTCATAGTGTTTATGTTAAAAACTACTTTAAAAAATGTATATGTATATATACACACATACACACAGAAACACACACATGCATATACATGTCCATTTAAATAATATTCCTCCTCCCTGACAAGCACTAAGAGCCAGTTTGAGAAAGATGGAGGTCATTTTCCATGCTGCAAGTCAAATGTATAGCTTTAGCTTCAGGCACATCCTGGTATGTGTTACTATATGGTTAAAGCTACTAAAGGTTGTTTGGTTTAAAGGGTTTGTATTTTAAATTTTAAAATGAGTGAAGTGCTACCCATTTCCCCTTAGTCCTTCCTCTACAGTTTCTTAACAAATCTAATAATGCAGAAGGCTAAACATGCTGAGTGCAAGGGTGAAACTGAAAATGACATTTCATACTTACGCTTGCGGTCTAAAGCAAAGGGCTGGTATCGCAAGGGTGGTGTCTGGTTATGAGAGGCTGTCTGACAACAGCAAGTACTTTTATCAGGGCACCCAGACAGTTGCAGGCAGAAAACAAATCAAAACTAACAAAAATATGGATTTAAAAATTTACAAATTCAGATTCACAGAAAACTGGAAAACTGAATTGAAAGAGTTTTAAATGATACAGGCTAGGCTTAAAGCCTTCACGACTTGCAGTAATGTGGATGATGGGTGTGCCAATTTTGGAACGTTGCTGCTAGGCAAATAGCTAATTCTAATCCTTCTGGCTAAGGTTAAAAGACAGTTATTACAGATTAATTGGGAAAAAAAAACCCCTGTATGTTTAGGGAATGACATTAATGAGACTCCTAGGAAGCAAGGGCAAAATCTTTAAATAAATATCTTGCCTAGTTCCAATAAGAGAATTTGCATTTAAAACAAAGAATTAATTATGTATAGACCAAGGCAGATAACTGACTCCTTAGAGGAAAAACATGTCCTTGGATAAAAAGATAACAGCTGCTGGAACTTTTAAATTGTAGTTTTTGTTTGTTTTAGCTGAAAAACAATTCAATATTTCGTAGAAAATTCTATTCTCCTAAATTATATTTCTAAATACCAAATATAACAACAACTTTACCATTTTTATTAAACAGATCTCTTGAAAGCTTTAAAAATTTCTTACTAACAGTAGACTAAAACTAAAAATAGGCAAGAAATGTTATTTTTTAACCCAAAGGAAGCTCATGGTAACATTTTCGTCCAATTCTACAGTAATCGGCTGCTAGGACAAATAAAAGATACAAAGGCAGATAAAAGACTGATTCTTATCATAAGCATTAAAAATCTATATTTCTACTAAGGAAGACAGAAATCTTACTGTATGAAAAAATTTCTAACAAATGCTGGAAAATTTACTATAAAAGATTTTTACATATACAGTACTTTAGCTTTTAAGGTCTAAAAGATTTGCCTTTTGCTATTTCCAAGACCCATTTTTAATAAATTAATTTTTTATTTTCTTTGGACTCATAGTAGTACATGTGATTCATGGGACTCTCGAAAAACAGATAGATTCAACCAGGCAGAATCAGGCAAGGCAATAAGAAACATCTTCACATGGGACTGATACTCTACAGAGAAATCTTAGTTTCTTAAATCCTTATTTTATAAACATACTGGGCAAACACAGGAAACAAGGTCACAGAAAGTGAGGCTGGAGGCAAATGGTAAGATAACTAATAGAGAAAGATTTTTGCAAGATTTTGCGCATTAACCATAGAGGAAGACAGTGTAAGCAACTTTTTTTCCTAAAAGGAGATCATGGTTTAGCTGATCTATCCAATACGGCAGCCACTAGCAACACGTGGCCAATGAAATATAAATTAATTAAAAGGAAAAATTCGTTTCCTAAGTTGCACTATAGTTCATGTACGTAATAGCCACTTGTGGTTTGTGGCTACTGCCCTGAACAGTACAGACACAGATCACTGTAGAAGTGCAAATGGAGAGTGCTGGCTTAAAGGATGAAGAAAGGAGACAGAGAAAGGAGAGAGCATGACCTAGGTTAGTAAGTCCAGAAAGTAGACCCAACAAGCCTACTATCTTTGGATAATAAGAATTTCTTTTTTAATATGAAAGAAATTAAAATGAATATGCTAAAGTTTTATTTATTATTATTTGAGATGCAGTCTTACTCTGTCACTCATGCTGGAGTACAGGGGCACGATCTCAGCTCACCGTAGCCTTGACCTCCCAGGCTCAAGGGATCCTCCTACCTTCCCCTCCTGAGTAGCTGGGACTATAGACGCACACCACTGCACCTGGCTAATTTCTGTATTTTCTGAAGAGATGGGGTTTTGCCATGTTGCCCAGGCTGGTCTCAAACTCCTGGGCCCAAGCGATCTGCCCACCTCGACCTCCCAAAGTGCTGGGATTACAGGTGTGAGCCATAGGGCCCAGCCTAAAGTTTTATTTTTTTAAATTAAATGTGTGGGGTAATTACGCTAAAAGGTTCTCAGTGCTTTACATACATTATTTTATTTCATTTTCATTGAAATCGTAGGAGGTAGGCAATATAATCATCCCATCTTATAGAGAGTAAGTGAGACTTAGAGAGTGTGTGAGTTGCCCCAGGCCACACAGCAAATTCCTGGATTCCAAGCATACTTAGTCTCTCACAAGCCAGAGCTCTTAAGGCTGCCTGTAGGAACTCCATTTGGGAATGAAGACAGAGAGAAGGTGCTCTAGATACTACCACCAGTCATGCATTACCACACGTAGTGGGCCACAGCCTGAATGAATGGCTCCTTCTTAATTAGCATTCTTTTTCCTTTTGGCCTAATATTTTATGTTGGGCTTGATTATTTTCTATTAGTAATGGAACAGTATTGCTTTCTAACCCCATTCTTATCCCAGCCCTCCACCTATCTGCCTCTGAACCTTCCAAGTCTAGCCATTCCTTTTCATCTATTTCTCCTGACAGTTTATGACAACGCCCTGAACCAGTTCAATATCTCTCAAGCTCCAATTGAGAATGGAGTATTCACCACACAGAGTACATGTGCTGTTCCAACATTCCTTCATACCTGCAAGTATTGGTTTATTAAATATTTTTAAAATAATCAATGGCTTCATGTTATGGGAGGATATTCTAACTGAATGGTTATTTAATGTGTTCAAGGCTGAGCTGTGATGCAGAATTATTTCCTCTTAGATATAAGTCTGACTGGTCCAGGGGAACCAGGCAGGTGCTCTTCCTGTTAGTTCAGAATAGCTCAGCTTTTATGTAGTCAAAGTCCCAATAAACTGCTTAGAAAATTACTTTTTATCATTTATTACATATTTTAAAGCTCCTTTTCAATTCCTCGAATGAGAGACATCGCAACAACATTGTACCAAGATGCACTTGACTGCATTTTCTGAGGACCTTGCAGGGGCAGTGAGGACACCACCTGCTACAGAGGCGAAGGAGGAGTGAGCATTACTTGGGCCTGGCACGCCTTACCTTCGGGGGGAGCCGTCGTCGTGGGGCTGGATGATGACCACCTTCACAGTCACAGAAGTGCGGAGCAGGTCGATCATCTGCTCGTGCGTCAGAGTGGCCACGGCGACTTTGCAGATCTCCACGAGGCGGCTCCCTTGGCGAAGGCCAGCCTTCCAGGCAAAGCCAAAAGGTTCCACATCTGCGACAATTCCTTCAAAATTCACATGGAAGCCAAGCTGGCCCAGCCCATTCCTCCTCAGGGTCATTTCCACAGTCTCGCAGCCTCTCGTCACTATCTAAGGGGGAAGGAGACTGTTAGAGATGCCCTTCCTGCCAAAGCTGCCATGGGGCTCTACCAAAGGTGCACGTATGGGCCTCCATGCCAGCCCTCTCCCTTGGGCCCTCAGAGCCCTGCCCGTCTCTTTCTGCCTTTTCCTTAAACTGTCCAAGTGACAAGACGAGGACACATTTAAGTTCAGAGCTGATCACAATTAACATTAGCATCAAGTGCAAAGAAAATAATAGAAGCACAACGATGGTTTCATTCTTCACTCTAAGTCAAATCTATTCTTGATACAGGTGTCCTGCTTTCTTAGATGTCACTGACCCAGAGCTTGGGAGCTTCAGATGGACTGAGATAACTCCCCTTTTTCCTTTATCGTGTCAAGTGACTTGGCTTTTAAGCATATAAATCCCATTGTTCTAGATGGATTTTTGCGATGTAAAACGTAAAGATTTTGGAGACCATTACAAGTTTCAGTCAGCAAGCACTAAAAATCATTAGACAATTTAAAGAAAAACACCCCAAAACACTTGAAAGCTAACGCTTAAGAGCCCACTCTGAGGTTCACGAAGGGCAAACACAGAAAGTCAGAGCTTTAAGAAAACTAAATGTGCTCTACGCACCAGTCCTGGGGACATACTGTAGAGTGTTCTGTCTACGCACCAGTCCTGGGGACATACTGTAGAGTGTTCTGTCCCCTAGGGTCCTTGTCTGTGCTTGCCCGAGTGCTGAGGACCATTCAGATCCATGGCGGGGGCAGGCCAGCCAGACTCCTTGGCCATCTGTTCACAAGACAAGTGTGCAGGATGGTGCTCTGGCAGGCAGCAGAGAGTCCCTCTGTGCCTATGGGCTGCCTCTCCTCCACTGGGCCTGTCTCCTGGGGCTGAGGGCAGCCTCAAGCAGTGGAAGCCCCAGTGTATGTACCTTACTCAAGAGTGAGAGAGTCAACAGCAGTCCCACAAAAAGGAACATGAAAGAAGAATGGTGGTTTGCATCCCACTTGGTACATTAAAGCACCACTAATGTAGTCTTCAAAAGCACTCACTGAGCATAGTTTACATGCAATGAAAGAAAAACATGGGCTCATTAAATATCATCTGATGACTATGACATCACCTATCTGTGGGAATTTCAAGTTGGGAGGTATCATACTCCTATCCCCAAAAGCCCAGAGGCAATGTATGAAGTTTCAGTTTAATGAACGCTCTATTTCTATGAAACATGCTCTGAATACACAGATACCTATTTAATAAGACCTATGACAGTAAGTACAGCTGTGGGACTGGGGCTGGTTCATGTATCACCACTGTGTCTGATGTTTCCATGGTTACCACAAGTGCACACAATGCCAATCAGCTTTTCCCAGACAGCCATGACAGTTCACGACTCAGCAAAATGCAGAAAGGGGATTGCTGGTTTTAGTTAGTGGTGACGTTTTAGAATATTGACGTTTCTAAAGTCATGAACTGAAGTAACTTAAAACTTGAAGAAGTAGTTCTGTAATACGCACAACACAAATATATCTTGTTCTCTTCTTTTTCAACTCTGTTCTAAGCAATCCTATCAAAAGATGACACATAACATGTACCCAGCCTTCTTTCAAATATCAATGCAATTATCAGGTGAAATTTATCATCCATGTATCAGAATGAAGAGTTATTGGCTGAGCCTTTCCAGAGTCCTCCAGCTCTGGCTCTTCTGCTCATTTTCTCCAGTCACCTGCCATCTCCCCTACTTTGTCTTTTTGCTATTTCTTTTTCCCCTCTGTTTATTGCTTCCTCACATCCCCAAAGTCTGAAGGAAGGTGTTCTCCATGTATTTGGACTTCCTCCATGGACCCAACTATCACACGAAAACTGTAGTCTCCTAGCCAGGACTGGCTATGTAATTTGTGGGGCCCCATGAAAAATCAAAATGCAAGGCTCCTTATGAAAAAATTATGAAGAATTTCAAGATGGCAATGGCAGAGCATTCAGTCAAGCACAAACTCTTCTGAGAGTGGGTCCCTGAGCAACTGCACGGGGTGCACATCTGGGAAGTGAACCCTGCCTGGCCCTCTAGGAACAAACTCTCATTCCCCTCCTGTACTGTTACCTGCAAGACAGACACCTTTAGTTCCACTTTCCACCGCCTGAGAATGGACACTGAGTTAACCACCTGCCAAACGGGCAGGCATTCCCAACATCTCCACGATGACTGCATTCTTCTCTTTCTTCCCATTTCTGTTACTACCACCCTGTACCAACACTTATGATCTAATCCCTTCAACAGTCTTTGGTTGGCTTGCTTCCAATAGCTCATGTTGCACGTCATCCTAGACACAGAATATAATTCTTAAAATAGATTTGTAATATTGTGCATCTTGGTCACACTGACAATACACTTTTCTGGCAAAATAGGATGGGGTCCATGAAATAGCAAATGTATAAGAGCCCCTGTGTAGGCCGGGCGCGGTGGCTCAAGCCTGTAATCCCAGCACTTTGGGAGGCCGAGATGGGCAGATCACAAGGTCAGGAGATCAAGACCATCCTGGCTAACACGGTGAAACCCCGTCTCTACTAAAAAATACAAAAATCTAGCCGGGCGAGGTGGCAGGCGCCTGTAGTCCCAGCTACTCGGGAGGCTGAGGCAGGAGAATGGCGTAAACCTGGGAGGCGGAGCTTGCAGTGAGCTGAGATCCGGCCACTGCACTCCAGCCTGGGCGACAGAGGGAGACTCCGCCTCAAAAAAAAAAAAAACAAAAAAAAACAAAACAAAACAAAACAAAAAAAAAAAGAGCCCCTGTGTAAATATCCAGGGAAAGTACATTTTTGTGGTTGGTGAAGTGGTATTTGTGTTGTACTTTCAGAAGCACAGATTATAATGATTTGGTGGATATGCTGAAAAGAAGTATTTGCAATTAGCAAAAGCACAATGCATCCAAAGACTCATCAGTATAACTCAAGTCAATTCTCTAGGCATTTAATCATTTACTTAATCACCCCAAACCCCTTATCTAGGCTTGCACACATATACCTGATAATACTGTTGAACATACTGAGGCCCTTTACCGTAAACAGTCTCCACAAATAATGAAATTACTTTTCCGAGGCCAGCAGACACTGCCCTGATTTTACCTTCTCTTATACATGGTCTGTAACAACAAAAGGGTAATTTATATTTGGTGGGAGGAAAGGGGACAAGGAATGGATATAATTTCTCCTTTTTTCATGATCCATAGTGAACTAAACCTTTTCTAATTAAAAATAAATAACATCCCTTTTGGGGGAAGATATACACACAAGAAATTCTACTGTCAAAGCATGTTTTTTTCTTATATTACCAAAAATAAAAACTGGAAATAGTTTGATGTATTCTTACTGCTTTATTTTATATGCTCAAACTAAAATCTAATTCTTACTTTGTTAAAATTGGGAGCAGAAATATGACTACTGAACACCATGGATAAAATATAAGGGTTTTGCACTAAAAATCACATACACAAAAATCTTTTTTAGGTCTGGTTTTTTAAAAGCCTTTCTAAATTAATGTGTAATTCTGAAAAACTTCCTTAAGAAACGGTGGCTCTAAGATTAATAATATATTTAATCTGGCACATTACACAAAAATACCTGCTGTATAAACATGCAGGGTTGAACTGCAAATAGGACTAATCATTCATACACTCAACAGCAATTCTGCTGTTAATTACCCACTGGGAAGGTATGTTATGTCAGCCTCCATAAACAGACATTCTACCCAGATAATTCTGTTTTTCCTTCAAATGCTACTAAAATACATCTCAATGTTCTCTTTTGCAGGTTGGCTTAACTCTTCCAATCAATTTATGATGGTTGCTTCTCCACTGTTCATGTATTCAACAACTCCTCAAAAGGACCCAGCATTTGAAATTAAGCTCTGTATCTGTAAGAAATAGTAATGCATTCCCTAATTGCTATAATCATGGTAGGATTTCCCCAGTGAAAGTTATTTTGATTCTGGAATTGAAAACATAAGGGAAAACAGAAAACATGTACTTACTACTAATCGCTGAACAATTTCCCTGATATCTTCAGCACAGTTGTCTACCGAGGACAGGAGGACACATTCTCCTCTTTCATAAAACACTTTGATACTCATTAATCCAGATGTCCACCCAATAACATCCCGGCAGGAACAGTTAAATACAACATTCTTGGAATCCTTTTCAATCAACATGATGAACTCATTGGAAATCCCGAGAAGACAGTCAATGTCAGCAGACTGGCCGAAGTCCCGTGCTATCACATGCCACATGATGGCTCCAATGCTGAACAAGTGGGCATCCTTCCTTGGCTTTACTTTCTCCTTTTTCTTTGCACCCAGTGTAATGAAGCTGAACTTCACAGAGGTATCCACAGTGGCAGTTGTGACAAAGTTCTCCGCCAGATCTTTCAAGTACTCTTGCCTCGTTCGAGTGGCCATTGCTCGAAACTTTTCCGACTTATGGGCTGCATTCTCTGCGTTGATTACTTTGGCTAAAAGGAAGTCCCGGAACACGGCTGACTTTGGAAAAGTTACACCTTTGGGAATCGGTGGGCCAAATGGTGGCACATCTTTTGATCTGGAAACTCCAACACTGAGGAAGTAAAAATGGAAACAAAATGAGATAAGCTATGATACCATAACGTGTATCTTTCCGAATTTGGCATATATACACACTTTCAACTTAACTGGTCTATTCTGCAGACTCTTATTCTCCTAATTTCTAGATACCCAGGGTTTGTTGTTGTTTAAGCAAAACGTTTTAAACTTAGTAGACAGGAGGTGTAATGGGCTGAATTCTGTCCCTCTCAAAATCCACATGTTGACAAGATAACCCATAGTTCCTGGGAATGTGACGCTATCTGGAGAAAGGATCCTTAAGGAGGTGACTGAGTTACAGTGAAGCCATTAGGGTGGGCCCTAATCCAACAGACTGGTGTCCTTATAAGACGAGAAAATTTGGGCTTATAAAGAGATACCAGGGATGTATGCACACAGAAAGAAGACCATGTGAAGACACAAGGAAAAGACAGCCATCCATAAGCCAAGGGGAGAGACCTCAGGAGAAACCAACCTTTGCTGACACCTCAATCTTAGACTTCCAGCCTCCAGAACTCTGAGAGAACAAAAGTCTGCTGCTTAAGCCACCTAGCCTGTGGTATTAGTACAGCAGTGCTACCAAACTAATATGGGGGTAACACATCTATAGCATGTGGAATAAGCAGGTTGACACTCTATAACTCTGTGGGCTGGTTATCACAGGGAAAAACAGTAACGCTTCCGACCAAAGTGGGTTTAGCCCAAGTTAGCTGCAAGGGATTCAGTGACATGGGACAGAGTCATCATACTTACAAAGGCCAAAAATTTTAAGTGTCACTTTTTTAAAGGAAATGCTCACTTGGTTACATTTTGAAAATCTAAATGAAGGTTTTATGGGAGCAAAGTTTTAAGAGAACTCAGGGACTGAAGAGATCAAATGCATAGTGTTAATAATGAGCATCTTAATCTATTAAAACCAGTAACGCCCCCCTACATCAGAGAGTTGCTTTAGTTATCTCATATCCTTTTCTGAATAAGATAAATTATAGAGTGAACTAATGAATTAACAAAGGAAGGATTAAGACGAGTGAGTGAATGAATGGATCCGGTATCACTGGCAGCATTGAGAGCACCCCAATTACTGAGTAGCTACCACAGACCAAGAATCTGTACCAATCCCACATCTGCCCAGGCTGACGTTGGAGTAAAGAAAGGAAGCAATCTTTGTTTTGTTGTCATCATTGTGGAAAATTCTAAAAAAAGTAAATTAAGGAAAAAAAACATTCCATCCAAATTTGTTCTGTCAGATGCAAACTCCTCTTCTGAAATGTGGTTTGTTAGACTTTAGAAAAATTGCAGGCTCTCTCACTTGTGCTTTAATCTGCAATCTCTTCAGCAGCGTTAATTACCTGTAGCGGCAAGACAGACAGCTGGCTAGATGGGGACTTCACCAATATGAAAGGGAAGGAATGACTGCTTTGCTTTGGGACAGATACACCAAACTCATGAATAGCACCTGGTGGTGCTTTACGGTAGTATACGTACTACACCAGAGGGTATGTGTGTGTGGGAACTTGACTTATGTCCTTAAATGAAGGGAAGGTCTTTAAAAACATCACAGAGGTTGACGCTGCCAGGGATCTACATCACGTGTGGCCCATTTTCCCCTCACCACCATCCTCAGGATGGCCATTCTAGACTGGGAATTAATTTATCCCTTACAATCCCCCATGTTAACTCTAAGAGAGTGGTCCTAAAGCTCCTGTTGGAACTTGTGATTAGTCTAACCACACCCTGTGGCTTCTCTTCTCTACACTGTCAATGAGCTCAAAGGGCCTCTCTGTGCACTGCAACCTGCCCTGCAAATATTGGGTACGATAAACCAGTGTATCACTGCTCCTAAATTTGGTTCTCTCTTCCAACAATGAGTACGGATTTCTAGCAGTATTTTACCCATGGAATGCTGAGGCGGCCAAATGTCATCTGGCACTCTAGTGCATTACTTCTCCGCATTAACTCTATAGATCTCATGCTACCCTCTGACTGCAGCTTGTATGCACTTAAGCTACAATGTCAGGGGAAATTTCTTATATCTAAATATGCTCCACTGTGGTGTCACATAGTGAATAAGAGAGACATGGTGACTCCATTATGTACTAGAGAAATTCTTCTTGTATCCAATTATAGACCCTAATATCTACTTGGAGATTCTTTCTACAATGTATGCCATATTCTTGTTCAATAAACTGTATTCTTGCACATCTCAAAGTTGTACAAGAAAAGCAGCAGAATGTAAGCATGGCTATTCCATGATTATGATATTCTGGGTATGGGAATCAATTAGAAATCCTTGATTACAAAAGCTCATATGATCCTTAACATTCCAAATAGAGTCAAGTTCAGAAGAAATATTCTTTTGCCAGATTCAGATAATTCCCAATGTGTGGAAACGAGAACTTATATCAGAGCTCCTTATTTCACC